CGTCGGTCGGGACCGGAGCCGGGGGGGGGGGGGGAGCCGTTTCATCTGGGTATCCTGGGCGTGCGGGTTTCCCTCTCATGGGGGGGGGGGCGACAGCGACACCCTGGTGGCTAGGGGGCGTAGGCAGGTTGGCTCTTGGGGAGAGGGGCGGGGGAGGGGGGGATGCCATTCGTCAAAGGCTGGCGCGTGGATCCCAGGCGACGCGCTTCGAGAACCCGGGAGGAACGGCCGCCGCGTCGATCGTGCCGCTGGGGCACAGATGGGGCGCGCCCGATCACCGGCGCCTCCGCGAGCGTGCGCGCGCGGCCCTCTACCCGTGCCTGCCGAAGGCGCCAGAAGGCAGGCCGATCGAGTGAAACCAAAACGTTGGCGCAGCTGGTGTCCCTCGATAGGGGCGATACGTGGAGCGGGGGGGGGGGGGCAGGGAAAGACGAGGTGTAGAGCCCGTGCGTGCATATGCGCGGGTGTCGGTGCGTGTGTGTTCGGGGCTCGGGCCCGACATGAGAATGGGACCGCCTGGCCAGCCCGGCCGGGAGTGGGGGGGGGGGGGCGGCCGGCCGGCGGGGCTCCCGCGGGGGAGGGCCCCGCTGGGCATGCAACGAGGCCTGGTTGGAAAAACAGGCATCCGCCGCCACTGCCGCCTCGGGGGCCTGGCGGGCGCCCTTCAAACGCGGGCAGAGCCCCCTGGCATTAGACGCGGCCTGCTCGGCTGGCCCGGCTCGTCCTCCGGGCGACGAGGGCGCCGGCGGCGCGCGCGCGCGCGTGCGCGCGTATCGAGTTGGGGGTAAAATGCCCCGGGGCGCATGGTCCGCCTGCCTGCGGCGGCTGCCAGCCGGAGGGGTGCGCATCTACATGCTGGTCGGAGTGTCTGTCTGTCTGTGTGTATGTTTATCTAAGTGCCTCCGCGGCTTGGTGGCATGAAAACCGGGGGCCCCTCGCTTCCCAGCCAGGCTTTGAGGGAGTCCCGAGTTCACCCTGGATGGGGGTGCCCGCGCGGAATAATTGACCCCGGGCCGCTAACTCTCGGGGGAGAGGGGGCTGGGCACAACCTGCCTCGCCGCCCCCGGGAGGGGAAAACGTCGATCTGTCTCTCCCGAGCCGTATCTCCCGGAGGGAACAGGTTCCCCCCCGCCAAGGGCTCCTCCGACCGGCGAGTCCGACACGGGCCCGACCCCAGGGACAACCGGCATATAGTGATTGCGCTTTGTCCGGCCAGGGTGGGAGACAGCCAAGGAAGACCAACTTGGGCTTTTGCCCCCCCCCCCCCCCCCCCCCCCCCCCCCCCCCC